TATAGTTTTATAAGGACCAACATTGGGAGAACAGAGATTACTAGCAGATATGTAATTATGGCAGATACAGTATAGTTCCCCATCCGTTCTGAGAATCTTGTGGAAATCATGCCATGAATGTTGATAGGGCTCACACATCAAACTCAGGGACTCAGATTCATGTTGCGCCAGTCTGCAGTTCAATAACAATCTGGCCCCTTGGCAGGTGTGCTACAATCAACAGCATGGAACGTGGGGAAACAATGTCATTTAACTGTGCAGGCATGCAAGGACAATACGTGACCATCACAATCCCCGGGAGATATGAATACCTAACAGTCTGTGAAGTGCAGGTGCTTGCATATCCATGGCTTCGTATCGGTAAGTATCAGACATCAGACATCTAATGTAAGAAAAATGTAGACTAAGATGCACATACCGACAGCATTAATTTAATTTAATTTAATTAATCGTATTTCTATGCTGCCCAACTCCCAAGGGACTCTGGGCGGCTTACAACAAAAATGATACAAACAATGAACATAAAAAATTGATGGTTGCCTGTTTTGTTGCGATAAGAAAAGTGCATTCTTGTATTTATGGGGTGATCAGCAGAATAGCAAAATAATCAGACAAACAGAAAGATAATCTAGTGTTTCACAACATCTTTCACTTCATGGAAAAGGAGGTGAAAGTTATAGAGTTAATAAATATTCAAGTAGTAGGGGCTGCATTGCAACAGTGGGGGTTTACTGGTCTGAAGGTGTAACTCTTAGCTATCCTGAAGCTGCGCTATAAAATGTACCAGGAAAATGGCTAATTAGAGAAGTATCTACTTTATTTTTGAAAAAAAAATATGATCAGAAGAGGGGACTTTTAGGAGTCAAACTGCCTGCAATGCTTATTTTGAGGGGGGAGGGGGAGGGAGAGGTGAAGAGAGAGATGAGAGGGAAGGGAGATATTTTTTCATGAGGGTCGGGTAAGGCACCCTTTTCCACATCCCTTTTACATCCTCTTTCATTTCCCAGTAGGCCAAAGTAGTGATACTGTCAAATCTTATGGTGAATATGAATCTTTCATTCTTGAATATTAGAAATTCAGACATTTCATTTCTTACAGTTCATGGAGGAAGGAGTCCTGTTCTAGACAGTGACACTGACTCAGGTATGTGAGAAGTCATCATGCCTTTGCCCAGATGTATCCACATGTACAATTACGGCATGTGGTTGAATACAGAAGTCACAGGGTGAGGATAGTAACTGAATGTCCCTGATTTGCTTTGTCCTGACTGATGTTTGGCTGGAAAGACGCAAAACAAGTATCAGATAAAAAAATGAGGCAATATGTTACTGCTGCTGCTGCTGCTTTTTGTCTCAGGGCCTTTCAGACTAATTCATTGAAAGTGAAATAATAGAGGAACGGGACAGTGATAGAGACAGAAGTAAACAATGAATCATTTTTATACACACATATATGTTTGAACACCCTGATAAAAGTTATTTAGAGGATACAAAAGGGGAATAAAGATACAAAAAAAATTTAACAAGAGAGAGCAGTTATATAATAGTTATTTGATTTATATTTCACCCCAATCAGAAAATACTGTTAGCAAAAATGCAATACAGCATCCATGGAAAAAGGCTAAAAACAATCAAATCATATCCCACTGTTATTTACACTACCTGATGACATCAGCTCAACCCTCCATGACTCTCCAAAGTAACTTTGTTTTTAACAATTTAAAGAAAGTCTGTAGAGTAAGGAGGGATTGAATTTCTGAGGTTCAAAGTGTCAGCATACCCCTAATGAAAGTACCTCTATGAATTCTTCCCTACCTCTATCTTTTAAAAATGTGTAGAATCACAAGGTGGTTCTGAGATGTTCAATTTGAATATGTTCAAGTGGGCCAAAATTGGGTAGAAAATATTGTCCTGTCATCATATACCAACCCCAACCCCCACCCCCAAGCACTTTAATTATACTTGAAGCTAATAGAAACCAATGTAGGGCACGGGTGCAGTGTGCTCATGTTAGAGTGTCCATCAGGAACTGGGCTGATGTGTTCTGGACAGGCAACCTCATGTACTGCATGCAATAGTCTAGTCCAAATGAGAGATGATAAGAAAGAGAGTCACTGCCATGATAGTTTGTCACTCCAGGTATGGCTGCAATTGGTATACAATTGGTATACAAACTGAAGTTAGGTAGGAATAGAATAGAAATAGAAATAGAATAGATTAGATTAGATTAGATTAGATTACATTAGATTAGATTAGATTAGAATAGAATAGAATAGAATAGAATAGAATAGAATAGAATAGAATAGAATAGAATAGAATAGAATAGAATAGAATAGAATTTTTTTATTGGCCAAGTGTGATTGGGCACACAAGGAATTTGTCTTGGTGCATATGACCTCCCTGGCCAGATTTTCACTTGCCCATCTAGCAATAGCTGTTACTCTAGAAAGACCCTTCTTCCTTCAAGATAGTACCATTCCATGAAGAACAACACTTGAGACATTGAAGAACTTTAATGAACAAATTAGTAGCTCTATCTTGCTTGGGTAGAATTTTTGGTTTTTATACCTGCTCAGTCTACAGACATTGTGTCTTGATATTGACAGCATCTCCTCTCTACCCCAGAGTAATAATGTACAGATAGGTATCAGTCGATTGTTGCTAACCATACCTATATAATATATAATGGTTTTCATAACGTATGCTAATTATTGTAGTATGTAAGATATAGCTCTGTGATAACACCTAAGAAAAAACACTGATTTAGTGTGCTTCTTGAAAGGTCATGAAAATGTTCTGTCTTCTAGGTCTACAAGGCAGAGTTCTGAGTTTTCCCAATGAATCAAAAGACAGTTTTGTGATCATATCCCCAATGCAGCCTTTCAATTTGATGGAATTCACACTCTGTATGAGGATTGCAGTAGAGTATTTAGATGAACACGAAATAATTCTCTTCTCCTATCATTCTCAAAGGGATGAATTGAGAGTCTTGCGTGAAGCAATGGGCCACTTTGGTTTACACATGGGGGGTAGGAGTGTGAGGTTTGCCCTTCCTGATCTCAGCCCTTTGGGGAGCCACATCTGTGTCACCTGGGAGTCAGTATTTGGCCTTACAGCCTTTTGGATGAATGGAAAAAGTAGTATCCGAAAGGTGCATAATATGGGACACATTCTGCAAGCAGGTGGCACAGCAATGCTTGGACAAGATCAAGGGGCACAAAATATGTCTGATCAGCAAAAGCCACATTTTGTGGGAGAAATAACAGATCTCTACATGTGGGATTATGTACTAAAATCACATGACATACAGAAAGTTTTCCAGGCCCATGAGTTTCCCAGAGGAAACATCTTTGACTGGAAAATATTGTCATATAAAATTAGAGGTAATGTGATGGTATTGCCTAAAGGCTAATAATTCTTTGTGTACACATAAATATGTATGGAAATACTATCATACTGCATTGGGCAGCAAGCAAATAAGCAATACTGGTATGATATCTAAGATGTTGAAACTAGTGAGCATTTTGTCCTTAGTTTGTAACTGTTCATGTTGAAATTCCTTGAATTAACCCATGAAAATATAATAAATAAAATTCTCTTAATGAATAACAAATTTGAAAAAGCGTATTTTTCTTTCTCATTTGATATGGCCAACTAAAATATAAAAAGACATGTCTGGTGTCTGGAGGCTGGCACAGTTTAAGGAAAAATGCAAATGGCTATAAATGTGGTCCAGTTGCTAGGCACCTGAAGCACAGTCACAGGGCCGCGGGTCGGGGGGGGAGAATGGGGGGCAGTTTGTCATAACTTCAAACAATTGCTAAGCAACTGATCATAAGTCAAGGACTTTTTGTACTTGATGATCAATCTGCAGCTCTTCCTTCTGTCTCCCAAGGTCATTCCCAAATACTATTATACCCCTTCTTGGTTTTCAGAACACTGAAAAGTTGGTATCATCCACAAACTTAGCCAGCTCACTGCCTATCCTTAAGCCAAGGTCTGTTCTGAACATTTACAAGCAGTGGTCCCAACACAGATCTATTTCTTACTTTCCTCCACTAAAAGTTGCTCATTCATTCTTGCGGTTTCCTTTTCTGTGTTTTAGCTAGAACCAGTTTGGGGTAGTGCTTAAGGCATCAGGTAAGAAACCGGAGGACCCTGAATTCTAGTCCCATCCCTAACACAAAGCCAACTGGGTGATCTTTGGACCACTTTCTCTTAGCCCTAGAAAGGAGGCAATGGTAAGCCACTTCTGAAAAATCTTGCCAAGAAAATTGCAGAGACATGTCCTGGCAGTCTCCAAGAATGTTTTAGATAGTTAACAATAAGTGGATGAATCCTCTTTATCTCATGTCCACTAAGTCTGCCCCTTTGATGAGGAAAGTTGTCTAAGGCTTTTTGAAAATTTTCAAGAGTGGATATAATAGGTGCTTATATGCATTTTTGAAAGCTGGATAACTCTGGACCTGGTGTATCCCAGGCAATCAAAAGTAGCGCTCCCGTGACACGTTTTTCCTTCATCAAGGAAACAGAATTCAAGTAATCTGGAAGATTGGATGAGATCATTCTGTATTTTCTGAAAAGATTCTGCCAACTTAGTCACCTGCCTGGAAGGCACAGAGTCCCATAAAATGAAAGAATGATGTCACCAGTTATTTCAAGAAGAGGAAGGGTAGAGTCCTCCCCTTGGGAAATGACCACATTTGATTAGAGTCAGGAACAGTAGTGTGTATGTTTGTGAGTGTGTGTAGATGTATTTTAGAAAAAGTGAACACACAGTTTAAAGATGGTTTCCTGAATCTAACAGGAGCAGCACTTGTCTCCATAGTCAGTGTTCAGTGTCATATCCTTCTGAAGTCTCCAGGGGAAGGATGGTGTGTAGGGGTGCCAGGAAATGACAAATTTCTGGTCTGATGCAAAGCATTCCCACTGGAGCAATGGGGGGAGGGGTTGTGGAAAGTATAAATAAAGCTGGTCCCAAAACAGCTTGAGAATTGTTCATGAGAATACCAGTCTGAGAGAAAACGATGGTAGGTGGAATGATTACTTTTTCAAACTTTGAAAACTTTTTGAATATTTTATCGAAGATACTTTTATCCTTACTTTTCTATGAAATAATTTACTTTACCTAAAAAGAATGCTAACTAACCCACTTAAGTAAGTGATTCTTCTTTTGCACTTTCTGGTCAGTGTTGACTCCTGGTGACTGCCTGAACTAAATCTTGCAGTTTTCTTGGCCAGATTTTTGGAAGTGGTTTGCCATTTCTTTCTTCCTAGGGTTGAGAAAAGTGAATGATCCAAGATCACCCTGCTAGCTTTATGCCTAAGACCGGACTAGAATTCTCAATTTTCCAGTTTATAGCCCTGTGCCTTAACCATTACTAAATTGGTTCTCATTATTATTCTACTTTATTTTAAATTGACATTCAAAGGTATCCAGCAAATCTTCTGCAATGTAATGATGTCTTGGGTTGCAGTTTACTCTCTTGGACTTGGAAAGGAAGGGGAAGACTTTTTTTTGATATAAAAAATTGTTATTGTAAAATATAGAAAACTACAATCCTAGTTTTAAAAAGATAGTGATTAAACAGTGAATGTGACAAAAACTAAAAAAAACCCTATATAACAGAGTATGGTAAAAATTAATTCAGTCCTTAGGCTTATCATTAAATATAATTGACATGGAGACATACTACATCACCTTCTCAGTTTTAAACAGAAACTTTCAAAATCAAACTTGTATCCTGAATCCATTTCTTAAAAACGGGAGAGTAGACTTCTTTTCAATCACATAAATTTATCATTTTGCTGTGTCCCAAGTTTGAAAAAGCCAAAATATTTTATGAAATGATAAATTCTATATTTTTGGAATGTAATTCAACATCACATTAAAACCCTTATATATATCACATCTTTCTTTGCACTTGTGCTGGATCCCCATAATATCACTTTTGTTTAGTTCTTAGCCTAGGAATGAGACAGCTTTAAGTCTTAGCTACACTAGTGTTAAAATATATTCCCCACTCCTTTATTCTAATATTGTCCAAGGGCAACCTCAAAGTTATAAAAGGTTAATCTTCTTAATCCATTATCTTTGAGATGTGAGGTGAGTGGCAGAGACTGAAAGACAGGTGAATAAAGCATAGCATAGAGATTGATACTGGGGCTAGCAAATTTGATTCCTGTATAGTTTTCTACTGAGTCAAAGAAGGCTGAAGTATTTTCAAAGCTGGGGAAAAGTCATATGTTATGTACATGAGAAAGGTAAAGTCTAAAATAGATCATGTTTATTTTCACTTAGGGATATATGCTTCTCTTTCTGGTGATTTACAAAGGAGTGCAGTAGTTTCATAGCTCTCAAAGGATACTACGAAAAATAGTCTGAAAATTTTCATGGGAAAGCTTGCCAAGATTTTAGGAATTATTTTTAGAGGGCAATACCAGGGGTAAAATCCAGCAGGTTCTGGAGAATCGGTAGCGGAAATTTTGAGCAGTTCGGAGACCCGGCAGTGGAAATTTTGAGCAGTTTGGAGAACCAGCAAATGCCACCTCTGGCTGGCCCCAGAGTGTGGTGGGAATGGAGATTTTTCAATATGCTTCTCCCAGCAGTGGGGAGGGAATAGGGATTTTGCAGTATCCTTCCCCTGGAGTGGGGTGGGAATGGAGATTTTGCAGTACCTTTCCCCTGCCACACCCACCAAGCCACACCCACAGAACGGGTAGTAAAAAAAAAAAATGGATTTCATCACTGGGTGATACCAAAACAAAACAAACAACAAAAAGTCTTGGAGCAATCAGGAGTTAAAGGGCAAGGGTTTAAATCTCACATTAAAATAGAAGAAAGGGATAGTTTTATAGAATGATTAAAAGCAAATTGCCACATTGCTGCCCTCTAGATATATTAGAATGGCAACTATCAAAATTCCTGGGCGGGGCAAACTTTGTTTAGGATTCCAGATAACACCTGTATGTCTCTTGGTCAAAGTATGAGATTGCCTTTCTTAGTGACCTCCTTTTATTTTCCCTTCCCTTCCAAGAAGATTATGGAGTATGGCGTTTTCCCCTTCAGTTTTGATCCTACATGTCGCTTCTACAACACACTGCTTGACCAGCAAAGCCGATTATGCAACCACATCAAGAAACTCCAAAAGATATTACAGAGACTCAGTAAACTGAACAGATGTTCTCTCATTGCACATCTAACAGGAAATTCTTTAAGTGCAGCAGGAGCAATTATGGCCATAGTGGGGCTGTCTTTGAGCCCTGCAACTCTAGGAGCCTCCCTCTTGGCTTCTGGGGTGGGTTTAGGAGTGGCGGCTGCAGGAGGGGCTGTTTCCATGACTTCAGACTTTTCTTTAGTGCTCTGTAACTCCAAGGAGGTGAAAAAAGTACAGAAGATTGCACTGGCTTGTCACAATCAGATGAAGGAAACAATGAATTGCTTGGAGTTCCTGCACCGCAGTTGGAATCCCACCGACCCTTTCTTATTGCAGACTGAAAAAAATGCTTCTATTGCCCTTTATAATTCTGCCTGCTTCCTGGTGTTCTGCGGTCCTCAGGGCTTTCTGGTGCCTGAGCATATAGAAGAGGAGACAAAAGTGAGCCATATTCTACTTAAGGCAAAAATCCAGAAACTGGCCGAAAACCTAGAAGCCTGTGCAAGACACATGGATGAAATCTGCAAGCTTTTAGAAAGCAGGAAAGCATGTTCCTGGAGGACAAAAGGATTAGTATGTTGACATGGGATCAATGGTCAGAATGACTCTGCAGTAACATGAGGTCTTCTTGAAAAAATAAAACCTGGGCATAAAAATGCTGAATACTGGTACTGTAATTTAAAATTAGGATTTTATGTACCCAGGAGTTTTCTCTACACATTTCCTAGGATTTGCAATTATCTGCACTCTTTCTATTTTGTGTTTTTTTTTTTGCTGATCAACGTAACATGCAGAAATCATGGTTGTATCAGTTATAGTCTATACTTTCAGCACATTTCAAGGGAAGTTGTTTGTCACAAAGCACCATACTTTGTGTTTTCTGGGCAGATAGCACAGTAAGCTGAACTTTCCTTAACACATGAAATTTCAATTAATGTTTCACAATAGGAGGAAAAAATAGGCGGGAATAATTTTCAAAGCTCTGACAGTAATTGTATTCAAATGCTCAAGGGGTCATGATGGAATATACCAGCATAGACAAAAATATTTGGTAAATCCAAAACCTGTTGAACTGTGAGAACCAGACAGATAAGCAAAGCCTACATATTTCTGTACTTCTCCTTATGATGTTCTCATAGCAGATGGAAATTTGCCCTACAAGTAGGGTTAGAACTGAATCATTCCTTTACTTTCGTTTCTAGACTTTACAATCTTTGTCTCATTTGTCATAGCTATCTTTCATGTACTCTTTTCACACATATGCCAGAATATCATGTAGTTTTACATTTATTTATATGGGCCAGTATTATTGAACTCTTTGTTTAAAAGAATAAGGACATTGTCAACACAAGATAAAATAAGATATTCTTCACTATATCTGAGCCAACATCTTTAAATTGCTTGAAGTCATTTTCTTTGCCAATAATTTCATTCAAAAGACATGATAAAGAAGCCAGCTAAAAACTAGGTTGTAAACCAAGATTTTTTTTCCCAAAATTCTGTTAACATTTCATGTGAGGGATTATTTTTAAGATATCATCTCCCTATGCATTTATATTCAGAAACATTTTACTAGAATGTGCAAAAATAATTTTTTAAGAAAAGCCTTTGCAGATTGAATCTTTTGATAAAAACTGTTCTGTGTTCACTAACTTCACTGTAAAAATTAAATGCTACTTTTTACTTAATTGATTAATCATCAGTTTTGTATCTTCAAAATATTGTTGAATAGAAGGCTAGGAAGAAAAAAAACCTAAAGCAAAGATGGTGAGAAGCTTTCCTCAAAGACTTTTTCACAATTGAAAAGCTAGTTAGCCAAACATTTTTCTTTCTTTTTCTTTTTTCCATTTCTTTCACAAAGGATAAGGCATGCTGGGATCAAAAGAGTTGAGCTGTTGTTTTGTAATTGGATACTGTAACCTTCCATCATCTTATTATGTTTGAAATTCATTTAACATACAAGAAACTAAGATTCAGCTGTCCTGATGGAAAAACTAAGAATTACTTGGGATTGATTTATGCACGTTAGAGAACTTCTTCTTCACACATCTATACATATTCATGCAAATCATTTCGTAGTAATAGAGCTCCCAAATCTGGACACCAGACAGGGTCAACTGAAGATTTGCAGTCCAAATCTGGTAGTAGTACAACCTCCCCCCACCTCCCCCCATATCCCTGCAAGTAGATGTCAGTTCTGTAAACCTTTTCATGTGCTACTGGAAATTATTGCGTAGGATGTGATAAATTTGGAACCAGACTCCCTGAAAGAGAAAGAATGAGAGAAAAAAAAATGACCATACGTGTTTTTCAGAAGAATGAGAAAATGTTTCGAAGTATACATATAAGCTTAATTCTCATCCAGATGTTGTGTTTTGAGCAATACCATTTTACAGAGCAGGTTTAGGTTTTATGCAATTGAATGATTTCTCCTGTCTCTACAAATAAGAACAAGAGCTCACAACACGACAAACTTGTCCTGAAATGCCTGCCTTCTTTAGGCAGTGGTTTTATTTTCGTATTGGGGAGCATTCAGTCATATGTGTCCAAAGACACAGCTTGGGCTTATCGGTAGTGAGAACTAAGCCATCAGGCTGTCAGATCCAAAAATGATGTGATGTTTCTCATTTATTTCTGTATCAGTAAGGAGTATCTTGGGAGATCTCAAGTTCCTTAAGTGATGGCAATGAAGGAATTTAAATGCATGAGAGCCAAAGGATGTGAGTGTAAGGTATATTTTGTGAAGACCTTATAGCAAATCTGACATATTCTTTGCATGTCTGTCTTTGTGGGAAAGGAAAATGTGCCCATTATGATCTTTGGGTCACTTTAGTCATTATAAAATCAAGAAACATATTCTACAGAATCCTAATGCGGTATAAAAATCAGAACAAGTATGAAATTATTTTGTTATCCGTTATTTATATTATTTCTCCTCAATTCTTAAAAAGTCTACTTCAGAAATAGCAACTCCCTAAACATCTCAATGGATTCAGGAGATTTGGAAAAATAATTATGATAACTGGTATTATTTTCTTCATCTTCAAATATACAAATTCAGCAGAAATTATCAGTGGGGTAAAGTTCCATGATCATAATAATATAATCCTAGTTCTTTTAATCTAAGCTCCCTTCTGCTCTTCTACACATCTTCTGAGAACACTTATTATAAACTTAAATGCTTCATATTATGACTTATTCAAACAATTAACCAAGTGAGATCCCAAAGGTCTACCTGCTATTTATGCAAGTAATACTTTGCCACATACTAAACAGACACTTCAGATACTGATGCAGTACTGTAGCTGAAATTCAGATCAAGAACACTGTGATCTGTGAGCTCCTGGGGCTAATGGATCTGAGTTTCAGAAATCAGCATGGCTACTAGATAAAAGCAGAGAGCTAATGCTTTCTGCACTTCTTTGCTGCCGTCTAGATTCTTGAAGTCCAGATCTTGTAGCCCTAGGATTTCCAGATGACTACTAACCAAGCAGCCTCTTTCGCATTTGTTAAACAAAATGCTGCATTGGTCTGCTCATTTAATTTGCAACAGCCACACATTATGTTAGTGGCATACACTTTGAGGGAGGGAGATGGTTGTAATTGAATGCAGCCAATGGTGGCACTAGTTTCACTATAAACTTTCACCATTAATGAAAGATGAGGATGACCAGAATAGAGTGAATGTATTTATCTCCCTTCTGTGCTTTGTATTTTCAAGCACCTAAAGAGTGCAACTGAACAAGCAAACATGAACTAAAAGCCTGAGAAGGGAAACACGTATCACGGATCTAGAAATCTAACAAGATACAGTATATTTCTGATGCCACATTGCATTGCATAAACACTAGTATCACATGCTCCTATGGATTGTTGACATACATAAGAGATTCCAAAGTTATACAAAGGACAGATAATATGACAAACAGTTTATACTGCCATGTAAAAATGCCTAAAACAGGTCTAATGCAAATTTCTTGGAGATCTAATCCAGCATAAGGAAGAAAAATTCAAAGGAAAGGTGGATGTTGTAGATTTTTGAAGTATTGTATGTGAAAAAAGAAACTGACCAAGAATGAACAAAGAAATCAGAAAGATTATGTAAGTAGAAAGATTCATTAAGAAAAATGGAAAATAAAGGAAAAAACTCTACAGATAAGGCTGCCAGGTGACTATATGGGTCTCCTTTTTGAATAATGATAATCCATTAACGGTTGGTGGATGATTAGTCACTGTATATGTTACCACTTCAATTTTTTGTTTGCAAATATTGTAATCTGGCAAGTGTTGCAGAAACGTGGCAAAAATAAATCTTTCATATTTATAACTGATAAATTGGTGACAATATTATTTGTAACTATACAGCGACTGTGAAGCTTGGACTTTAAGAAAGTCCACAAGTTTGTTTGGATTTCTTAACACATTTCCTGCTCTTATACAAGAAGAGGATATGGCACTGTGAGATACCGGCAACTAATGATGCAGGTACGTCATAGTTCTTCAGTGGTCACGCACTTAGCTAGGATGGGCTCTCCCCTCCCCCCACCATTAACTGGGAAAGTATTCATGCTATGAATACACTTCCTGATATGTTTTAACCTACGTGAACTCCCTGCACAGCATATTTCCTGGTCACATGAGAGATCTGAATTTGGGAGCAGAGAGAATTGTTGTATATATAACACATGAAAGTATGACTTCTAAATGAATAAAACACACTGTATAAGGAATGCTGCTAATCTCTGTTTGTAGGATAGGCACTTAAAAAGTGCTACACCATCTCTACTTGGATAATAAAGAACAAAAATAAGAGGCTAAAATCTCAGATGAGGTTTTTTCAGAGTTAAAAGTAAAGGAGGCATGTAAATAAGGCAGTTAAAATGAGAAACATTTGTAAAAGTCACATTCAGATCTATGACAACTTGTGATCACTAGGTCTATCAGTTTTATAAATCCTTGACAAATTACACGTGCATTGTAAGTATATACAATAAACACACATATTAGAATAAAACTGCTTTGATCTGAGAGCTGTTTTTATAGTCTTTTACTAAAGCTTGCATGAAAGCTGGCTAGGTGTCCTTGGTCAGTCACTTTCTCTCAGCCCAACTCACCTCATAGGATTGTGGTTGTGGGCAAAAAAGGAGGGCATAGAACAGTGGTGGGTTGCCCCTGGTTCGGATCGGTTCGCAAGAACCGGTAGTAAAACCAGCGGGAGGCTCCGCCCACCGCCCCGGATGTCATCATCGGCGATCTGCGCATGCGCAGAAGCAAGGCTCATGCACGAGCGAAGCAAGTGCGGGCACACGATCCCGTTGCGAACCGGTAGTAAAAGTAAGTAGAACCCACCCCTGGCATAGAAGTATTAGGTATGTTCACTACCTTGAGTTATTTATAAAAATTATAAAGGCAAGAAACAAATTAATAAAATGGGACCTATTTTGATGTAGTGGCAAAGGTAGTGGACTAGAAACCAGGAGACTATGAATTTTAATTCTCTGATAAGCATAAAAGCTGACTGGATCATTTATATGTAACATTTCTACTTGGTAGTTCCAGTGAAGGAACTACCAATTCAGATAAACAATGAACAACAGATTAATCAAGGAGACACTAAAAACGCTCCCACCAGTACTGACAAGGTGAGCCATTTATATAAACAGAGCAAACCCCATTCCCTTCTAGCACAGATGTTACCTAGTTAAGTAATGAAAACAAGCTGAGAGCACCAAGGATCCTACATTTCTGCCATATGCACAACAGCCAGAACTATCCTTCTCTTTTGACTTGGGATAAAAACTTTACTGTTCCTAAGTGTAAGTCCCAATAAATCCAAATAGATTTGATAATTCAGAATAAATTTATTTAGTATTTACTCCTTTAGCAGTTTTTATCTTAAACTAGCAGAACGCATATCTAGGCTTAAGAAAAACTTTATGAAATATCAAACAGTTGCTCATTTTGGGGAAATAAATGTTTATACAATACCATTTCATAATTTTCTAGATGTTATGGAAAATGCAAGACTATACACTGCAGCAGCTTCCTTTACATGTATATAATTTTTTTAAGTCATCAAATTTTTGAGTCAGACATCAGCTAACAGTTTTGTTTCACTTCACTTGACCAGATCTAATAAAGGGCTTTATTTAAAAGTTTGCTTCTCTGGGTTTAGCTTTAGGAAGCATTTCTTTTTCACTGTATTTAGCTCTACACTCCATACCTTCCCCAGGATCTCTTGGCAGCGGTCTTTAGGATCAGTAGTGTTTTGTATTGTAACACTCAAGAGCCTTCCACAGAAGCTTTGGGCAACGGGAAAAGAGATTATAAGAATTAGGCGCCTCTTTTTCTATATCGAGAACTCCGATTTCCATTTAAAAGACTAATCTAGAGATTCATTTCTGAGTTGCAAAAACCCAGACTATCAACAGCAGCAGAAAACGGTAGTGGGAGTTTTCTGTATCTCTTTGCTGCTTAGTTGCCGTTTTCCACATTTTTGCATCTCCATAGAGGATAATCTGCAACAAACCCGATTGTGACATCCCATATAAATCTATGGGGAAATTCAAGATTTGCTGAACGTAGGAATTCCAGGCTTGCCGTAAAGTAGGACACCCGCCCATCTTTGGGAAGAACGTCGTTTAAGTCTCCTGTCCATCGGAAGTTTTACTGCTGCGCTGGAGGCGAGTCGGGAAGAGACGCATTAACATTAGAGGCTAATCCAATAAACCCTTTCGGTTCAACGTTTTTAACTGTAAAGAAAATACATGCGGAACCGGAAGCTTTGAGATGGTGATGATGTGTTCTCCCTCGCTCTCTATACCGGAGTGGGAAGGGCAAATGTGAGCATTTGGACTTCCAGTCCCAAGATGCTTTGCGCTACCTCTGAGGTTAAAGGTGAAGAAGAACATGGCGGCGAGCGTGGAGCACGGGGGAGAGGTGGGAGAGATCGCGGAAACTTTCAAACAACTGGTGAGTGGGTTTTCCCTTATGAACTTTATTATTTATTGTCTCTTCATCTCTCTCCCTCTTCTAGTGCCTGATGTTTCTTCTATTTGCTTCTCCTTCATGTTAACTCTCTGAATGACTTGCTATCATATCTAGTTTCTAGTGCAGGGGTCTCCAACCTTGGCCACTTTAAGACTTGTGGACTTCAACTCCCAGAATTCCTCAGCCAGCAAAGCTTGCTGAGGAATTCTGGGAATTGAAGTCCACAAGTCTTAAAGTGGCCAAGGTTGAAAACCCCTGCACTAGTGGTCTGTTTTGCTGTTTCTTTTTTCTATTTCTTCCCCTTAACCTTCAAAGAAACAAACTATTATGGCAACACACACACACACACACACACACAAAATATCTCACAGCACAGCTTCATAAAAGCAGGGGTTTACCACACTAGGTAGGATCCAAGGTGCAGACTATGCAGAGAAGCGTCAGAGGTAGTCCACCAATACACAATGGCAGGGTGTGAGATGCAAGCAGGAGTAGCATATACTGAATGGCACCACAAAGTAGCTGGCATTGTGTACAGCAACATCTGCACAATATATGGGCTAGAACACTAGTGGGTTTCAATTTCGGGCGCTACCGGTTTGCTCGTGGGTGCGCGCTCAGGCATGACACTTCTGCATGCGCAGAACCTTCTGCGCATGTGCAGAGATGTCCGAGCGGGTGGGTGGAGCTTCCCGCTGCTACCGGTTTGCCCAATCTGGGGCGAACTGGTAGCAACCCACTACTTGGGCTAGAATCTCCCAAGTTCAGATGTGAGCTCACACCAGAAGGTCGTGGAGAAAACGTGGGTTAAGATCCTGTGAGACTTCCAGATTCTGATGGTCAGGAAGGTACTATGAATGAACAAGACATCATGGTAGTAGACAAACACCAGAAGATAGTTGTAATGATAAATGTAGTGGCAACTACAGGAAGAAGGAATAAGAGAAGCTGGAGAAGTTCTAAGGCCTGAAGGTGGAACTAGAGAGGATGTGGAAAGTAAAGGCCAAAGTAATGCCAATGGTGGTAGGAGCACTTGAGATTGTGACTCCTAAGATGGGAGAGTGTCTACAACTGATTCCAGGAACAACGTCAGAGCTTTCTATTCAAAATAGTGCAGTGTTAGGAACAGCTGAGATACTGTGTGGAACCTTCAGACTTTCAGGCCTCTGGTATTGAGGAAGATATAAGATTTTTAAGGATGAGAAGGGATTTTTATTTTTGTATACACATACCCCTATACACATGCCACCCTAATCTTCCAACTCTGGGCCATATAGAAGAAATAAAAAGACAAGTCATTTAATTTTTGTCTCAAATTTCCAATATCATGCAAAGATGATTTTGATTTTTTAAAATGTTCTTTAAAATTTTACAAAAGCTAGACATGGTGATTGTATAGATGCCCATATTGACTTATGGAATAGAGAAACAAAACTAGTCATCCATATAGAATCATCCTTAATAATCCTTAATTATCTTCTGATGCTACAGAACTCAGGTGTCTTCCTCTTTATCTTAAATGCTCTAGTTGTAAACTAAGCTAGAAGACACTACTATGCAGGGATGTGATTCATTTCAAAGCTGACTTGATAAGCTTTATTGTATACATGCACACAGGTATGATCTCTTTAGCGTGATCAAGCCTTATCATTTGCTCCAGAAATAACCTTATAAGGACAAAATAGTTAAGAGAATAATGGTTATGCAGTTGCAGATATCTTGGTCACATCTGTTTTTAGTCTGGTTTTTGGCATGGTTTGGAGATAAATTCAGTCATAGTAGACCTTCAGGGACAGAGGAAATAAGAGTTTTGATCTTGCTTGATCTTTTGACTGCTTTTGATACCATTAATCATGGAATTCAATGATTAATTGAATACTGGAATTCCTTCTTGAGTTAAGGATTGGGGACACTGTTATACTTGTTATCACTACAACTATTGTAACTAAATATTGTTAGTTGTAGGGATAGACTTAAACAAATAAGTAGGTCGCTGTACCCCTAGACCCGTGATGGCGAACTTAGGCACACATTTATTAGTTCGATTTATATGCCGCCCTTCTCTGGAGACTCAGGGCGGCTTACAATACATTAAGCAATAGCCTTCATACTTTTGTATATACCTGCTTAGTAGGGCTTTTTGGGGCCCCCCAAGCGGTGTTCTTTTTTATACAAAGTCAGCTTATTGCCCCCACAAACCGGGTCCTCATTTTACCTACCTCGGAAGGATGGAAGGCTGAGTCAACCTTGAGCCTGGTGAGATTTGAACTCGCAGTAATTGCAGGCAGCTGGCAGCTAAATGCTACTTTAACAGCAGTTTAGTCCGCTGGGCCACCAAGGCATGCCAGAGGTGGCACGCAGAGCCTTCTCTGCTGGCACGCACGCCATTGCCCCAGGTCAGATCTCCATGGTGTTTCTTTCGTGAGCTTCTGTTTCCCTGCAAACAACGAAACAGAAGCTCACGAAAGAAAAAGATCTTACGTCTTGCCTCACTGCCGGTGTTGGGATGCCCTGCCTCCCTACGGCCAGCTAGTCTTCGGCTCTCTGCTGCAAATGTCCATGCATGCGTGCATGTCTGCAAGCACACACACTACTTTCAGTTTGGGCACTTGGCGTCTAAAAAGATTAGCCATCAGTGCCCTAGACCCTGACAACTATCCTGTAGAGTGGCAGAGAGTGCTTTACCAGTACTTTCAAACATCTAGATATAGGTTGTCATCAATATTCTGGTGGTACTGAAGTCTGCTTCCTAATTACATTTCAGTTAGATGTGGTTGTACATGTTCTAAACTGGTGTCTCTTTGTGAACCACATAAGAGATGTTGTGGAATGCACCAGGATGAGGTGGGTCAAGGAAAGGGGGACAAAAGAGAATGTGGAAATCCAAAGTAAACATTTTTCTGTTATGATCCTAAATCTATTTCCTACCTCTGCCATTATTCTGAGTTTTAGAACTCTTTAGAATCATTTAGCCACTGAGTTCAATCTCCTGAATACTGCAGGAATCCAAATTAAAGTATCTAAGATGATTTTTTAATTTCTATTTTAATACATATTGTGAAGATAAGGTACTGCCTCTAAAAGTAATTGGCTCCAATGTCAAAATGTACTTGGTGTTAAGTTTTTTCTGAGATTCAGTTCTCAGAAATCTTACCTGAGTTCATTGTTTCACATGGTCCATTCTGGAACAAAAGAGTCTTTATGTCGCATCCTTTTCAAGTATTTGAAAATTACTACTATAATTCCCGTCAGTGTTCTCGCCTCAAGACTAAGCATTTCTCCTCATAATCCCGAGTTTTAACCTCCTGATCATCCTTATTTGACTTTCTCTAAACCTATTCAGTTTTTATGAATACTTCAAAATTGGTGCCAAGAATTGGATTTATGGTGAGGTCTGATGTGGCTGATAGCAGAATACAGTGGAATGGTTATTTCCCACAAATTAGAAACGATGACTTTGTTGTATCTGCCTTTTTTGTAACCACATAACTCTGCTGGCTGATGTTCAGTTTGCAAACTGATTGCAAGACCAAGTATCATCAAGAATCACAGTATCACGTATTACAACTATCGCCAAGCTAGGTATTTCCTAACTTATTTTTGTGTCTGTGATCTTTGTTTCCTTCGAGAACATTGCATTTCTTTTGTACAATTTCATTCTCTTACTCTCTGCCAATTTCTGTATCTTATCAAAATTGTATGCATTCTATTTCTGTCTTCCAGGATATTAGCTATCCTGTTCAATTTTGTGTAACTGGATCTGTTAAGCATTGTCTCTTCTTCATCCAAGTCATTAATACAAATATTGACAGGTAGAGATTTTGGGATTGAATCTTATGGGTATTCTTGGCAACTTTGTGTCCAGTTTGATGAGGAATCATTAATGGGAACTTTCTGTGTATAATTTTCAAAGACAGATATGTACTGATTTAATTGACATGCCATCTAACACTTAACTAGCTTGTAAGCTTGTTAATCAACATGTCATGGCATACTTCGTCAAATGCTTTGTTGTAGTCAAGATTCATTATGTCTGCAATATTCCTACAATTTATTAAGGTTGATATAAAGACAGGCTGGCAAGATTTCTTCTTTCCAAATCAATGCTAATAAATTACTCCGTTGTCTTAAAAGTAATTACAAATTGACTCTTTTATGATCTGCCCTAGATTCTTAGAAAATAATGTTACATTGATTCTAGTTTATGCCCATTTTTGAATATACTTCCAGTCTTCACTTCCAGTCAACTAGCATTTTCCAGTCAGCTAACATTGCATTTTTTACTTTGTCTCAACCTTCAGTGCCAAAATAAAAGTTTTTGAATAGCTCTCACTTTACTTAGTGATTTGTTAGTAATTTTATGTCTTCATTGAGCAGCTATTATACTGATTCTTTCCTTTTTCTTTTCTTTTGAATGTATCTATATAAGTCTTTTCTGTCATTCTTGGCGGTTTAGTAAGCCTTGGTGGCGCAGCAGACTAAAGCACTGTTAAGTAACACCACCTGCCTGCAATTACTGCAAGTTCAAATCTCACCAGGCTCAAGGTTGACTCAGCCTTCCATCCTTTCGAGGTAGGTAAAATGAGGACCCGGTTTGTGGGGGCAATAAGCCGCCCTGAGTCTCCGGATAAGGGCAGCATATAAACAAACAAACAAACAAACAAACAAACAAACAAACAAACAAACATAGCTCCTTCTGAGAGTTAGTTTTCCTGACATGAGCTATATAATTCTAAATTACTTGTCTATATACTTCTTTTGTGACCTGGACTTGATCCTTTTCCAATTTTCTAGATGTGCTTTTTGTCTTCAGATATTTTCTAAATTTCTGTAATGACATTGGTTTCTGATGTTCTCCATTTTTCCTCCTCACAATTGTTTACAAGTGTGTTTTTAGTGTTTCCTTCTTTAGGAATTCACACTCATCTTGAAGTACTTTTACCAGTTCTGTAAATAGACTAAAAGCAGAGGAGCAATTCATTTGGATTTTGGCAGGAGTAGTTGTTTTTTTTTACAGATAGTGCAACTGCTGTTTCTACTGTATATGTATCTTTTGAACAAATTCAGTTGCTATTTTCAGTCATGGAAGGCAACACTCCAGGTCCTACTTGCCTTTGTGTACTAAGAATTTAAACCTTATTTATTTTTGTTATTTATTTCATATAGCAATAGCACTTAGACCAGTGGGTCTCAACCTTCCTAATGCTGCGACCCTTTAATACAGTTCCTCATGTTGTGGTGACCCCCAACCATAAAATTATTCCTAAGATCATTGAAAATATGTGTTTTCGGATGGTCTTAGGTGACCCCTGTGAAAGGGTCGTTCGACCCCCAAAGGGGTCCCGACCCACAGGTTGAGAACCACTGACTTAGACTTAAAAAGTGCTTTACAACCCTCTCTAAGCGGTTTACAGAGTCAGCATATTGCCCCCAACAATCTAAGTCCTCATTTTACTGACCTCGGAAGGATGGAAGGCTGAGTCAACCTTGAGCCTGGTGAGATTCGAACTGCCAAATTGCATTAATTTATAGACACTAAAAGTTACAAACTATGCTATAATCTTTTTGATTTTTCAATGAGGGGTTTAAGATCCCATTTCATTAATATTTTCTCATGTTACATTACACAGTTTTAAAGCTCTTTAGAGTTGTTGCTTCTTCCTGTCTAAGAATTCAGTTTAAACCCTCCTAATCAACCTGCATTTCAACCTCTGGGCCTTGTTGAGTAGGATCAGGTGACTAAGGGTTTCAGCACTTTCCCCCCCTTCCTTTCTGAAGACAGACCAGTGTAAAAGAGAAACAGAATCAGGTTACTTTAAGTAAAATAAAAGATCGGTAAAAGTGTTTACTTTTTAAAAAAGTGATGTAATGTTTGAGACAGATCACAAGATGGCACTAATTTGCTACATTTAATGTGGCTGAGCAAGATCTTAGAAGAGAATCTGCTACTAGACCTTATATTTTAGTTCACAAGAAGTTAATACAGGAAAAAAAAAACAAAAAAACCTGGATCCAGCCTGACAGGGGAAAAAAAGGCTGATGATGGATGGACAGAATTTTCTCTTTTTTCCCAGAAAATATACCCACAAGATAAAAAGGCTTAACTAGCACCCTAGAGAGAGAGAGAAAAAGATAAAAGATAACACTCTTTTTTCTCTGGGCTTGTTTACCAATTCCCAGGAGACAAATAGATTCCTGATGCACAAGTCCCTTTTTGCCTTCATGGATTTTTTGAGCTTCTGTCAGATTCCCACCTTCATCAGAGGAACACTTTCAGGTTTCTCCTTTTTCCAGCGCCAGTACTTGGTTTCTCCCTTGTTCTCAAAGAATTAAAGCTATTCTTTCATCTGCTGAGAAGGGGGGCTGGGAGAATTCTGATTCTGTATGAGATTGAAAACATGACTCTGTTACTCGTAGATTTAGCTCTGTCTGACATGAAGACTGAAGTCTGGAATAAGTGACTATAATCTGTCTTTGGAGCAATCCCATTTTGCAGTGTGTGGTTTTCATTTTCATTTTTCATTTTCATTTTATTGTATACCGCTCTACTCCCGCAGGACTCAGGGCGGTGAACAGGCACAGGATAAAACACATAGAATACAAAAATTTAAGAGCAGAAGTAAAATCGAATTAAATCAATTTAGCCCAAGACAAATTTAAAACCCCAGGTTAAGAACAAATTAAAATTTACATTAAAATTTACATTAAAAAGAGAATGGGAGAGGTTAGGCCAGACCAGCCTGGTGAAATAAAAAGGTCTTGAGAGCGCGGCGGTTTTCTTCAGAGTCTGTTTCATCTACAAGGGCCTGAAAGTATTTCTGAGTTCCATTGGGCCAAAGCAGTTTTGTTGTTATTTGTTGTTATTCTGGTTGTTATTCTTGTCCTATGGGCTTGCTTCTTCCCCACCCCCCACACCGATCATTTTTGTTATGCTTTTTTTTGAACTGATGAATCCTTGTAGTTTCTCATCTCGGAAGTTTGGCCATTTGTTCCTCTATCTCTTTAACATTTCTTCAGCAGAGCTACTAAACTCCCTCAAGATGGAAGGAAAACTTGTAGTGAGTGGTTCCCAGAGATAGGAATTTATTTTCTATGAGATTCCACTTTGTCGGAAAGAATAAATACATACGGTAGTTGAGGGTATGTTAAATCACTGCTGACACTGGAGAATCAAGTAATTATGGCAGCTTTGGTTGGTATATCAACTACACATTTTTCTCAAGAGGGATTATCTTAGCAATTCAATAATTCATTATCTAATATTTAAATAATATTTTATTATTATTAAAAATAGTAATTTGTTTAAAAATAATTACATCAGCTGCCAGCAAGATTCTAAAACCAAGGTTTTACTTATGAATTGGATGGGATTGTCTTTGTAATTTCATCCTTGATCAATTTCTTTCTTGGTTGGAGGAGGTCCTCCTATATCTGCCTAGAACTGCAAAATGCAATTATGTTGCCTGTTGATGAGCTTTCTCTGTGATAAGGACTTTACTCTGGAATGTTTTCTCTCCTGAAATTCATGAGCCGCGGTGACGCAGTGGTTAGAATGCAGTACTACAGGCTACTTCTGCTGACTGCCGGCTGCCTACAATTTGGCAGTTCGATTCTCACTGGTTCAAGGTTGACTCAACCTTCCTTCCTTCCAAGATGGGTAAAATGAGGGCCCAGATTGTTGGGGGCAATATGCTGACTCTGTAAATTGCTTAGAGAGGGTTGTAAAGCACTGTAAAGCGGTATATAAGTCTAAGTGCTATTGCTATTGCTATGAGCCACTGTTATTACTTACATTAGAAAACTGTTGAAGATCTATAACTTTACCCAAGTCTTCTCTGTGTGAAGGTTCGATAAATCATTTTTTCCTTTCCTTTATTACTATATGTTTTGCTTTATTTTATATCATATTTTGCATTGTATAAATTTGCTTTCAGATGCTTTTGTACAGGAAGCTATAAACATACATTAATAAAAATATAATTGTCTTTGCTTTAAAATTTTCAATTTTCTGGAAATTGAGGGGGGGAAATGCTAGCGTGTGTATTCAGATCTGTGGCCTCTCGCTTATCATAGATGGGCTTCTTCCCTCTTTTTTCTTTGAAATAACAGGGAGTGACAGATGTACTGGGTGAAGCATGCAGTCAGTTAGGATGGAAAACACCAACAAAGATCCAAATAGAAGCTATTCCACTTGCACTCCAAGGTGAGTACGATTCTGGGACCTGCAATTTAAGAAAAAGGAAGAAAGTTTGCAATACTGATAGATTTAATGTGTTATTCAGAACAATGTAATTAACGGATCTGCATTTCCAACTCTGTTAAGGCTAAACAGCAAGGCATTTTTTATTTATTTACGGGACCTTTCCACACACCTCCATTGTTTAACCCTACATTAATGATAAATATAGTTTTTAAAGATTGTTTGCTGTTTGGGAGAAAAGCCAAATGCTTCACTAAGTGAAAAAAGAACCGACTTACTTCTGGTGCTCTCTTTGTACATTTGCTGAACTAAAATTTTGGTTCTGTCAATCTGTTGTTATTTTTTTTTCCTGGTTGGCATTGAATGTGACTCTTTTTTTCCCTCATAGGTCGGGATATCATTGGCTTAGCAGAGACAGGATCTGGAAAAACAGGGGCTTTTGCTTTGCCCATCCTTCAGGCATTATTAGAAACTCCCCAGCGCTTCTTTGCTCTGGTACTTACACCCACCCGGGAGTTAGCCTTTCAGATCTCTGAACAGTTTGAGGCTCTTGGATCTTCCATTGGTGTCCAGAGTAGTAAGTAGTATGGTTACAAGATTTCAAATGAATATAAAACATTGTGAAATTGAAGAGAATAAGTAGGTGCAAAAGCATCTTTACTAAATATTCTACCAAGGTACACAAATTCATCTAGTTGTTCTAAACGTTCTTTATCATATACATAAAATTTGCAACTATTGTTCCTGTTTACACACGAATCTCACACAAATGTCTGTCTAATGTTCACTGCAAGTTATTTGGTTTCTTAGCTGACAATATAGCAAATACATTACTTACAATGACAAACTGTTGGGGTAGGGGTTGTATAATGTTGTGATTGACTTGCTGAGGTGACCATTATTTAATGTTTTCTTTTCTTTCCTAAGCTGTCATTGTTGGAGGAATTGACATGATGTCCCAATCTCTGGCCCTAGCCAAGAAGCCCCATGTAATTATTGGTAAGGATCTAGCCTACAATTAGATCTTATGAAAATGGTGAGATACTAAATAAGGGTTAGGAGATACAATTGACTATCTCAGTAATGGTGAACCTATGGCATGCGTGCCCAAAGTGGCACATGGAGCCACGTCACATGGCACGTGCAGTGTTGCCCGTTCCTCTTCTGAGTTTCTAGCGTGCATGCACATACAACAATCAACTGGCCCTTTTGTGTGCGGCAGTGCCGGAAACTGGAAGAGGCGGTCTTCTGTTTTCCTGCGTGAGCATGCACGCCGGCCAGCTGATCGTCGTGTGCGCATGCATGCCAGTACCAGAAGTTCATTTTCAGGTGTGCTCATGCACCCTGGGCAGTTCCTCTTCTGGGTTGCGGCCCAGACACGCGCACACTCCCTTTTTGGCACCCAGTGCCAAAAAGGTTCACCATCACTGGACTATCTGATGCACTCTCCATTTCTTGCCTTGCCACCTTAATGATCCTTGAGTCCAATTAACTAATTACTGGTCAATTGAGAAAACATATCTGACACAATGACTTATAATGTCCTTTTGGGTGCTGTGTTTGCTCCGCTTTGACATATTTCCTGTGGACAATTGTAACTGATATATGCTGTTTGGATAGCATTTTCTCATCAAATTTAGCTTTAGAATGAATAGATTAACCATCTTGCATCTACTCTTTCCTAGAGAGGAATTCATTTAAACTTATTTAGAGCAAGTCCCTGGGTTCTGAGATTCAACAAGCCCATGTAATTTCAGGTCTATTTCAGACCCTAGCTTGACCTATACTCCTCAGCTATGCTTTGCAAACTTTTTGTCTGTTAACCAAAAGAGCCACAGCAGACTAGAAACCGGGAGACCGTGAGTTCTAGTCTTCCATAATTAGCTATAAAAGCCAACTGGGTAAACTTGCACCAGTCACACACACTCAGCCCGACCAACCTTACAAAGTTGTTGTGGGGAAATAGGAGGAGGAAGCTGTGCTCTGTATGTTCACTGCCTTTGAGTTATTTGTAAAAAATAATAAAGGTGAGATATGAATAAATGAGTAAATAAAGAACCCTTATAACACTCTTTCTCTTGGTAGCTACGCCTGGTCGTCTTATTGATCATCTTGAGAATACAAAGGGTTTCAATCTTAGAGCTCTGAAATACCTAGTTATGGATGAAGCTGACCGGATCCTCAATATGGATTTTGAAACGGAGGTGAGATGTGCCCATCCTTGCCATTTTAGAATGGTTCATTGTATTATTAAGCTGGTATTTTTCAGAAATATGGTTCCAAAATAACACATACATTCATGGGACCGGTCAGGCTTTCCTTCCTGCTATTGAATGTATACCCTGTTTTCTCTTGGTCATTTAGAAGTAACTGCTTGGGAAGTAGATTTATTAAGTTCCTTTAATATGGATATGACCCTTCCCAGTGCATCCTTGCTAAAGTGAACCCACTTAAATTTGAACTGTTCCCACTGGAACCTTTTAGCTGCTAAACTCATCATTCCTTGCTGAAGAGTAGTGCAATGTCTTGGCTTAAATTGAAAGTCCTTGCTCTATAGCTTCCATCAGGCATACCTGGTATAGGTCTCCATGCATGCACATTGACCAGTGTTCTATTTTTTTGCATTTCTCTTTATAGGTAGATAAGATCCTGAAAGTAATTCCCAGAGACAGGAAGACATTTCTCTTTTCTGCTACAATGACTAAAAAGGTATGAGGCAGCTTGACACTTTGCCTTTGCTTAGGAGAGTAAGTCAGAATTGGGAGATAGAGGTACAGTGGAATTATTGTCTGCAAATTTAATTTTAATTCTCAGGTGCAAAAGCTCCAGCGTGCAGCCCTCAAAGACCCTGTGAAATGTGCAGTGTCATCAAAATATCAGACGGTTGAAAAACTTCAGCAATACTATATTTTTATTCCTTCCAAGTTCAAGGTAAATTTATTTTTCCTTTTTGTTTTGGACTTTCTTTACTGCTTGGCATCGTTTTAAATTTGTTCCCCTTTGCCTTTCATATTTCCTGATTCAAGTTCTTTTTCTGATGCCCTTAGGATAGTTATCTTGTGTATATTCTGAATGAACTTGCTGGCAATTCATTCATGATATTCTGCAGTACATGCAACAATACTCAAAGGACGGCACTCTTGCTTCGAAATTTGGGCTTTACTGCTATTCCCCTCCATGGACAGATGAGCCAGGTACAGGTTAATGTGCTTGCAAGAAAATTTCTAGATTACTATATGAAGTAACTAATGTGTAACAACAGGAAATAAGTATGTATGCATCCTCAAACCTGTTTCCCTTTCACTATTTTTTTGCCCAATGTGATTGTGTGTGACACATTCAAACATTGTGATTAATAAATAATGCTTTCATACTTTCCTTTTTGCCATGCTAAATGAAGTGAAAAAAATCATAAGTGAATGCTAATGTGCTCTTTTGTCCTTCTAGAATAAACGATTAGGATCACTGAACAAATTCAAGGCTAAAGCACGGTCCATCTTGTTGGCTACTGATGTTGCAAGTAGAGGCCTTGACATCCCTCATGTTGATGTAGTAATAAACTTTGACATTCCTACCCATTCCAAGGTGAATTGAAAAAGCTGTTAGCGGACATTCGGCTGACTCTGCCGCCTAGAAATTGAAAAAACATCATTACAGATTTTGAAACTGAATCTATTAAGAGCTTTTCGTGAAGGCTTGTTGTGTGAAGTTTAAGAGACCTGGACCACACAGCAAGGCTTTTCTGTTGTGGCCTCCAGAATGTTGCTCTCACCAAGTTCCTGTAGCTCTTTCTATCTTAACATTTTGTAAGTTCATTGGAACAAGTCTGTTCTGCTGTGCCTTTAATCCTAATTGATTGATTGGCAACATTTTTCTTGGAGGTGGATTTAATATAGTTTTTCATGTTTGTTTTCTTTATACACTGCTCAGAGTTTGTGAATTGGGGGAAATTACAAAAGATCTATAAAATAAACCAGAAGAAATGGGCAACTCTTGGCCCTGTTCTTCCATGATTTCATATAGAGTTTTGAAGCACTGAGTGATATTAAAGCTCAGAAGGCTAAAGGTATGCCAGCAAGAGCTTGAATGAAAGAATGAGAATTATAGATAAAATGAATTAGTATTGTAGGTATCAGGCAGTGATGATGAGTTGATGGGACCATCACCTTTAGTGATGGCAGCATCTCCAGAATGGACCTTTCCTGTTGGAATCTCAAATGACAGCAGGGTCACATATGCCTTTATATTTTACACTGCAAATTGGGCATACTGTATTGCTTTTTAAGAAATTAACTTGGTTTTCTCCTTACCAGTTTTAGAAAGCTGAGCTGGCTTCCTTTATTTGGAAAGCTGTCTGTTTTAATAATTGACATTTATGATGCAAAAGGTTTTTTTGGGGGGATATTTATTTTAGTGGTTGTCCAATGACCACCATCTTGTTCTGTTACTTACTTTGGATTCCTTTCAGGATTACATTCATCGAGTAGGGAGAACAGCTCGAGCTGGTCGATCTGGAAAATCAATCACCTTTGTGACACAGTAAGATGCTATTCTGTGCTACTCCAGTTGTGCAACCACCAGAATTTATGTATTCCAGTGCAATGATTTCCAGCTAATGGTCCTTGGGGAACAGACTTATTTCAAGGGACCCACGATTTTCAATAAACATGGGAGAAAAAAAGCAGACCCCCCACCCCGCACAGTTGGAAGGAGATTTGAGAGAACAACACTTGAGTTGGACTAATTCCTCCTTCCTTCCAATGCTAGATTTCCCTACCTCCCAGGATATATAATGTAAGCATAGCTTTTCCTAACATTATTAAACTTCTGCATTACGCCTGGCCTTAATCTGTGTAGACCGCCCTTAAATTGATGAGTGAAGCCCCTGCATGCTTTTACTGAGGGGTAAAACCTGGATGAGTAGATAGCCTGCCTGGTATTTGCAGCAGAATCCTCCAGACAGACCATAGTTTATGGTATTATTTGCTCTGTTCTTATATAACACTGATGTCTAGAATGGTTTTGGCTCAGAGGGCTCTTCAGAGATGTGTTGTATTTTTGCTATGTAGTGGAGAAAGTTCTGTTTTGTTAAGGATTGAAAGGAAAATTAATAAAATGAATCAATAGCATAAAAATATTGGTGAGCTTGTTGCTTTTAACACTCAAGTAACTGACAGGGAATTAATTAGGGTGAGATTCTTTCTCCTCTTGCAGGTATGATGTGGAACTCTTCCAGCGCATTGAGCACCTGATTGGCAAAAAGCTGCCAGCCTTTCCCACTCAAGAGGAAGAGGTCATGATGTTGACCGAGCGTGTGGCTGAAGCCCAGAGATTTGCTCGCATGGTAGGCTGCTTTAATGCTCGATCTGGGTTTGTTTTATGTAGAAATGTAGCTGTTGCACCCATGATTGTGAGAATAATATTAGCATTTATACAGCATTTATACAGCCTGACTGCTTGAGTCAGATTCCAAACAAGGCTTCAAGAGCTGAGAGATTCTTTTATTGCATGAAGAGCTGTATTGCATGCCCTCGCTGTTCTAGTTCTTTTTCTTTTCTTTTTTCTTTTTTCAAAATTAAAAACATCCCATTAACTCAGGAGCAATTCTAAGGGGTCTTTTGCTTTTGCTACCACTATCAAACCTTTTCCTAATTAACTTTTATTAAATAACATGCCCAAAATGCTACCTATGGGAGTATCTGAATGCAAAATCACACACGAACAAGAATGGTTGTTTAATATTTTCAGCAGCTGTTTTATCTTCTTCATTGTCTCAGTGATTGATTTCCTTAGAGGTCTCCTGTTTCCTTTGCAGGAATTGCGGCAACAAGGGGAAAAGAAGAAACGCTCTCGAGACGAGGCAAATGATGATGATGATGGTGATGATGCAGAAGGAGCGTTGGGAGTCAGGAAAAAAGTTACTGGTGGGAAAAAAAAGAAATGGAAAGTTCAGAAATAAATACCATCAGACTTTATTTCTCTATATTTTTATGCAGTTTGGAATCATTAGTCCAACATCATTATCAGAATGACTTTCAAGGACTCATGAAGAACATCTCAGCAAGTTTAGCAGTCCACCTTCATTTATTTGTTCAACTTGTATGCCGCCTTTCTCCGAAGACTCAAGGCGGCTTACAATGCATTTAAAAGCCATATATAAAAACATTAAAAATTAAAACATTAAAAACAATTAACACCCATTCACACCATTCATGGCCGGATCTCACCAGATCGCAACAGCGAGATCAATGGCCCCAGGCCTGCCGGAAAAGCCAGGTCTTCACCGCTTTTCGGAAGGCCAATAGGGTGGGGATGGTCCGGATCTCAGGAGGTAACTGGTTCCAGAGAGCTGGGGCAGCCACAGAGGAGGCCCTCCCCCGCAGGCCCGCCAGCCGGCATTGTTTAGCTGACAGGACCCGGAGGAGACCAACTCTGTGGGATTTTCATGGATATTTTCCTTGCAAACTGGGGAAATCTCTTAACATTGGAGAAGTCTTATTGGTCTCTAACAGAAATTGGTATTCCTCTGAAGAAAGCAGATGAGAACAGATTTCATGTATTCTTTATGGACAGTGGAATTGGGAATATGGCAGAAGCTTTTCAGTCTGCTGCCACCCAAGTTGCAGTCAATTATTTTTACAGCCCATATTTATTTAATAAGATAATTTGCAAAAACATGGGGTGGAGTGGGGGAAAATAATGTAATATATTCTAATGTTCAAGATGTGTCAGCAAATAGCAGACTAATAAGATCCTTGAATATTAAAGTGAAGGACTTGATACAGAGGAGAAGAATTAAAAAAAAACTCTGCTAAAATTTGTGTTTGCTTATTTATATAATTGTGCTATGGCTGCAACTCCTCAGTTTCCTTTCTCAGTTTATCTGACATTTAGCCATATTTATTTGTCTTAGTCTGTTATGAATGCATCTGTGGATTCTTCAGTTTAGTAAACTTCTTTACTTTACTGCAGTTTAGTAATCTTTACTATAAAGACCACTGTCTTTTTGGTGGTTTTTCTTCTGCAGGTCATCCCTGAGGCAATTCTGCTTGACAGCCAACACTAAGAGGCGCTCTTTTTTCACATAAGGTCTGTGCCAGAGTGACTTGTCTGTTACAGATTGATTGCTCATAAAGCAAAAATCCAAAGCTATGCCCAGGGATTTGAACGAGAGAGCACTGTTGCAAGGTTGTCATCATTTTCTGTCTTACAGCTTCCACTGTTGGCTCATTTCTTGTGGGTGACTATTAAGAAAGAAACTTCACCCAAGCAGATCAGATACCTGATTGATGAGTTGGAATTTGAAGGCATTCCTTTTAATTCCCCTGTTGATCACATGGCTTCATCTCTTGGAACTGTGTTTTACCTGTGTTGTGGAGCCACCCAATGGGGCAATCCCAGAGATATAATGAACAACCAAAGCCAGGACTACAGTAACATTTAGAAGTTTATAAAATAGAAGGAGCAACAGATGTCCATAGGGGAGCTCTCATCCTAATCAGTCATGATAGACAATGGCAGGAGGCACTTTGTCGACGTGTTTATCAGCTGGCTTCTTTAACATCCAGGCTATTTATTTATTTATTAAATTTGCCACCCACCTTGCTACAAGATTTACAGTTCTGGGCTCCCCTTTCCATCTGGTTCAGGAAATGATGAAAATAATTATAAGGTTGGCATTTGTATATTCATATTGGGAAAAACAGAGCTACTGTATTTCCTGCTCCCAAACTGCATGTAATAAAAACAGTTGATGGGAAAGGGAAGCTAGTTATGTGATCAAGGAGAGCTAAGGGTTAATTACATTGACAGCAGGAATGGAAAGACACTTTAAGTTGAAAAGTGGGGGTGGGGAGGCTCAGGCTTCTGAGTCTGAACCAGAAGGCAGCTGGACTTCCATGGAAAAACAGCAGGAAGAGACTAGTACTAATAAAACAGACTGGCTCTGGTCAGCCTTGCAGAATAGTTTTCACAACATTCTGATATTTTCATTTACAATGCATTTTTGAGCCAGGACATTTTATAATAAGATTTTGAAACTTAAATTTTTACATTTTTGTTGCTATCACAAAGCTTACGAGAGGGAGAGAGGCCTGTTTATAGCAAGGAATTGTAAGTACATATGCCATAACCTAATGGCATATGGCTACATTTTCAGTGGCTGGGAATAAACAGCCATTCATAACTAGGAGAAAATGGTCATAACAAAGCAAAATTTGTTCACTTGCAGTAGAGGTGGCTTCTTATTTTATATGCTGCTAAAGGGGTTTGGTAGAGGCTGAGTAGGAAATCCTGGATTTGGGGTAGAGAGTTACATGGACTCAAGGTGTGGCTGTTTTGAAAAACAGGGATTATTAGAATTTAATCATAATTTGTATGGTTCTGATCTTTGCATCTCCAAAAGTGTATTACACAGCTGGAAAAGTTGAAGAGCATCTTTTAAAACATCTTCAGCAATATTCCTTTTAGAGTATTTGGTGATGCTTGTAATGAAAGCTAAGGAACAATAAAGGCAGGTGAAGAGTTTGTATTAAAGCATCTATGTATGGTATATACTGTTGCAGTCATGTCTTGCTCTGGGATTTGCAGAGGCATCTAATTGGCTTCCACTAGTACAAAATGTTAGACAAGATGGGCTTTTGTTTACTTCAGCAGAGTGGTTGTATACATTGACCGTTTGGGTAAAATTAATATTTCCCCAGTTTTTAGTGATTCAAGCCAAAACAGAGGGTTTTTTTGGGAGGGGGGTGTTGCTTATCTATATCCTAGATTGTAGACGGTTATCCCTAGGATCTTGCCACTTCATAGAAATGAGAGAGAACTAGATTAACTAGTAGACTACTACTTACATATGACCAGTCATGTACTGCAGCTGCCAAAAAACCCAATGCAGTCCTAGGTTACATCAATAGCATCAAGATCACAAAAAGTGATAGTACCTTTTATACTGCATTAGTATGATCACACTTGGAATACTGCATCCAGTTCTGCTTGCCACAATACAAAAAAGATGCTGAAACTGTAGAAAGAACACGGATGAGCAACAAAGGTGATAAAAGGTCTAGAGAGTAAATTTTACAAAGAACGGTTAAGGGAACTTAGGTATGTCTAGCCTAAGAAATACAAGGGTTAGGGGGTGACATGATAAGTGTCTTCCAGTATTGTGGGGCAGTTACAGAGATGAGGGGGTTGATATTCTCCAATGCAGGGCTGGAGCAATGGGTGGAAGCTTGTTAAAGAGAGGTCCAATGTGGAATTAAGAAATTTCCACACAAAACAGTTAATGGGAGAGTTTGCCTCCTGAAGTTGTGGATGCTCCCTCGCTGAAGATTTTCAAGAAAAGGTTGGACATCCATTTATCTGGGCTGGAATAAGGACTTCTGCCTTGGGCAGGGGACTTGGACCTCAGGTCTCTTCCAGCCCTATGATCTATGATCTACTACTATGATGAAAGATGGGAGGGCAGAACACAACACTACAATGAAGTGACATTATGGCTGAGGATTGAAGGAATGAACGTATCCTCAGTAATTTCTACAGGGTTTCCAGCATCAATCAGTTGCAGCAAAAGTACAGAAAATTGTTGCATCTTAAAAATCAATAGCATTGCATATTATTTTATGTATATAAAAGTCATCAGGAACATTGGATTGTCTTCAGACAGGAATAAGTGTTCACACAGGTGTTGTTGAAGGCAAATTCAACACCACCTTGTGTTTTACACCTAAGTATTTTTTAATTTTTTAAAATACTTTTTTGATTTTTTTATGTATATTTGTTGGTTTTAACAGTCACTTGGTCAATTGTCGTTGTGAGCCGCCCTGAGTCCTCGGAGATAGGGTGGCATACAAATTTTATAAAATAAATAAATAAATAAATGGGGGGGGAGTAAAATGAGAGGTCACCAACAGTGAGAATTATAATGTCTTGCAAGCAAGTAGTAGTCACTTGTTCCAGCTTCTGCCAACCTAGCAGTTTGAAAACATGCAAATGCAAGTAAATGAATAAGTACCTTATGTAAGTATCTGGGAAGATAATATGTTTCACCATACACGCTGAACTGGCATGATGTCAGGCTGGCCACATGACCATGGAAACATCTCTGAACAACAATGGCTCTTTGGCTTAAGAAATAGAAATGAGCACCTCCCCCTAAAGTCAGTCAAACTAGTGGTAACTAGCGCTAAACTCATGTTGGACACTCTTATCATTATTTAGTAAACAAAACAATTGAGTGTGATGTAGTGTTGCACTGAAGAGAAGGTGAACATATGGTTTATACATCCTGCCAAGTGTTATTTGGGGTGATTCCTGATATAATAACCTAAATACTGTGGCTTATTAATTTTTTTAAAAAAATCTAGATTCAGTGTGAAGATTGACCCCAGAGATTATGTATGTTTGCTTTCTAATTTATGAGAAATAGGCAGGTCTCGTACTCAAATAGACAAGGTTAATTGCCACAAAATGTTAACCAAATGGAAGAGTAAAATGCAATGGCTTTCTAGTTTTGAACCAGGTCATTGCTTAGTAATTAAGAAATGTTATTTGAATTATTTTGGGAAGAATTGGTGGTATCTGCATTGATGGAGGAGTACCAGCTTTGGAGAATTGAAATACAATTTTTTGAGGGCAAGAATTGCTTTGAATGTCACCATGTAGCAGTCCTTTCTTCTGTAGAAAAATTGGATCTTAATTCTTTGCCAATCCATTGAACGTTAGCCAGGGATCTACCTGTAGTTTATGCTTCCCATAATCTGATATGTTAGATGTTTATCCGTCTTTCAGGAAAATTTATTTATCTGTTTAGAAAATTAGATGGCTACCTACTGGTAGTTTATACAAGATAATCCCAGGCAGTTCACAATAATTACAAATAAAAGCAGAGTAAATAAACCAATTCAACAGCACCAAAATGGCTTCTATATATTTAAAAAGTCTGAGTATACATTTCCCCCCAACATTTTATTTTATATTGATTCTTATCAAAAGAAAAAAAATACATCTAGTTTCCCTGCATGTCCTTTAAATTTCATTCAAGGCAGAAGTTATGACCATCTTCAGTCCAGCACATCTGCAAGAGGACATTGTCTTAGTCTGATATATTTAGCAGAACTTCTAGCATATTATGACCAGGGAAAAGGTAGTCAAAATATTTATATATTTTCTCTTTATTTTGCAAACATTTGCTGAGATATCTCTTGATTAAATGTTATAGACTGGAATGATACTTGAAAATAAATCCCAGATGTCTGACACTAGAGAGCAAATTATGCAAACTACCTTAAAAATACTTCGGCAAATAAAATGTTTTAACCTGGGCTAAAAGGCATTCCAGAGTCAAGATGCTGCCATAGAGCTTCTATGAGGTTTCCCATAGCAAAACTACCCAAGGACTGAGCATTTGAAGAGTCACTTGAGCTTTGAAAATATTGCCATTTTAATTGCATTTTGACAAGAACAATACATAAGGAAGAAAACCATTTCTTTTTGTATGACCAGTGTACTTTGATCAGCTGAATGGATTTATTTCTTTCCTTCCTTTTTCTTGCCTTATATTTAAATGTGTCCTGCTAGGCTATTTTGATATGCAACTAACTACAGATTAAATACTTGAAAACCACGTTACACCCACATTCTTAATAGTGGCCCCACCTGTTAAAAGTATGTGTGTTTTTTTGGCTAAAAATATTTTCTCCTACTTCCAGTTTCTGTGCTAAGAAATTGCTTCTCTCTGTGTAACAAGTCACAGGACAGCCAACAAGTTTGAATAGAGTCTTAAAAAGACTTCTAACAGACTAATTAATATGGGTACAA